TCCTTCTCGTGCATGCCTCTCCCGACCCTCCCCATCAACCCCCCTCCCCCTTCCTCCAACGCACTCCTCGCCTAGCCACATGTCCCTTCAACTTGTCCCTCCTCCTCTTACTCCTCCTTCTCCTCCGCGTGCTCCTCCTCCTCATCCTCCTCCTCCTCATCCTCATTATCATCCTCATCATCATCATCATCATCATCACCACCACCACCACCACCACCATCGTCATCATCATCATCATCATCATCATCATCATCATCATCATCATCAGCATCATCAGCATCATCATCATCATCATCATCACCACCACCACCATCATCATCATCATCATCATCAGCATCATCAGCACCAGCACCAGCATCATCATCCGTATCATCAGCAGCAGTAGCATCAGCAGCAGCAACATTAGCATCAGCATCAGCATCAGCATCCTCGTCATCATCATCGTCATCACCATCAGCATCATCATCATCATCATCATCATCATCATCAGCATCATCATCATCATCATCATCATCATCATCATCATCATCATCATCATCATCATCATCATCATCATCGATCATCATCGTCATCGTCATTGTCATCCTCATCATCCTCGTCATCGTCATCGTTATCATCATCACCAGCAGCATCGTCATCATCATCGGCATCATCATCATCGTCATCAGCAGCAGCAGCCGCATCGTCCGCCTCATCGTCACCATCGTCCATCATCATCATCATCATCATCATCAGCATCATCATCATCATCATCATCATCATCATCATCATCAGCATCATCATCATCATCAACAACATCATCATCATCATCATCATCATCATCATCATCAGCAGCAGTATCAACATCATCAGCATCACCATCATCGTCACCACCAGCATCACCATCATCGTCATAAGCATCACCCTCATCAGCACCAACATCGAAGGCGAGAAGGCGAGAAGCATCATCGAAAGCAAGAGGGCGAAACTCACAGGTTTCGCATAAGTGGTCCAACGATGTTTGGCTTGTCTGGGGTTTCCTGCAGATCTCTTGAAGCCTGTTTGGGCTGTCTTGAGCGTCTCCTGATCAATATGAACGCTGTCTTGATCCGTCTGGGACCCTGGAGGACATCGTTGGGGTGACTCGGGGCAGTCCTGGGCGACCTAAACGGCTGTCTGACCCCTCGAGGAAGCGATGTTGGGCAGCCGCTGGGGGCATCCGCGCTGCGAGAGCAAACCCACCCTGTCCGAGTAGGGCGGCCCCAGGGGCCCAGCGAAGACCCCAGAGGCCGAAAGCAACGAAAAGCCCGAGCCTTGTCTTGGTTCAGCGCGTTGAACGTCTGGGGAGGGTCGGTCCGGCCCCCTCCGCCCCCCCCTCTGGAGCCCTCCAGGCTCAGGGCGTATAGGGGCACCCGGGCGCCCGCCTCGCAGAAGAACGCCCCGGCCATACCCCACCAGATCCCAACAGAGGCCTCGTCCCCGTCGATGACGATGATTGACGATGATGCGACACAGTCACGTCGCATCAGAAGGATGCGCGGCAAGGATGCAGGGGTCTCGGAGGGCCATGCCGGCGTCCCCGAGCGGGGCCAGCAAGCGAACGCCGCCAAGGATGCGAGGAGTAGCCTCGGGGGGGTGCTCAGCCTTCCCGCGCGGCTTGACTGCAGCGCCCCTCCCGTCGAGGCGCCCGCGGCCCTTTGCGCACCCCCCCCCCGCAGGCACGCCCCGTGAGCGCCCGCGGCGCGGCCGCCCGCGCGGCCGCGGACGCTCGGCCGCTCCGCGGAGACGCCCGGCGCGGCTCCGCCGCCCGGCGCCGGCGCCCGCCCCACGCGGGCCCCCGGACCCCGCCCGGGGCGGCCTGGGCGGGGGGCCACGCGCGAGCCGTACTGCGAGGGAGCCCACAGAGGACGTACGCGCCGAGCTGTGTACATGAACACGGCCCCTCGATCCGCGAGACCAGCCGCGTTACACGAACAGTTGCGCCATGCGCACTCTCGAAACCAAGGTGGATTCATGTATATACGTGTGCGTCCTTCTGTCGCTCCTGAACTGCCCCACCCTCCCCCTCAGAAATCGTGGGGCGTAGGGGTACACGTCGTCCGATTCTGACTGTGCTCCTTTCTTGAGCGTGCTCCCTTCTAACTGTTCTGGACCCCCTAGTGGCGAGGAAGAGGCCCAGGATAGAACAATCAAAAATGAAAGGACCTTGGCCCCTCAAAAAAACAAAGAACTTTCGAAGAATGAGAAATCAACAATATGTAGGGCTCGCATGTGGCCCCCTGCTGGAGCGGCGGGGCCGGCCGCGAGCGGCCGCAGCGGCGGCCTCGCGGCGGCAGCCTCGCGGCAGCGGCCGCTGCCTGCGCGGCCCGCGCAGTGCCGCGCGTAGTGCTGCGCGCGGTGCCGCGCGCGGCCGCGCGCCCTTGGTGGCCAGCGGCCGCTCTGCGCTGGCATGGGGGAGCGGGGTCCCGCGAGGCACGGGTCCTGGACACCAGGGCCAGGACGAGGTGTTCCTCTACGGAGCCTGTTCTGACACTCCCGGGGCCCGTGGAGTGCCGCGGGAAGCCAGGCACGGCGACAAGCCTCAGGACTCGGGACCCCCTCTCCCTCAGTAGGGGGCCCGGATGCGAACCCTACCCCTGCCCCCCACGACTCCTGAGGACAAGGACAGGGTTCGCATGGGGCCCCCTACTCAGGACCCGCTTCCCCCATGGGTAAGCTCTGCGGCGCCCGCGGAGGCCCCGCCGGGGGGGGGGGCGGGGCGGCTCGCCGGGGCCTAGGCCTCCGCAGGCTGGGGGGGGGCGCGGGGGGGAAGGGGGCGCGGCGAGGAGAGCGAGAGAGGGCGAGGGGACCTCCACGGGCTGGGGAGGACTCGAGGGAGGCAGGGAGGTGAGAGGAGGCGAGGAGAGTGAGGGGGCCTCCACGGGCTGGGGAGGGGGGGGGGGGGGGCGAGGATGCGAGGAGGGGCGAGGAGGGGGGGGGACGAGGGGTGCGAGGGGGGCGAGACGGCGAAGAGGCCTCCGCGGGCCGGGGGTGAGCGAGGAGGACGCCCGCGGCCGAGCGACAGACGGGCCTCGTCCCCCTCGTGCGGCCTGCGTCACTTCCTTATGCATACCTCCTCCCTGTCGCACCCTCCTCGTCCTCCTCGTCCTCCTCGTCCTCTTCGTCCTCTTTGTCCTCCTCGTCCCCCTCGTCCTCCTCGTCCTCCTCGTCTTCCGTGTCCTCCTTGTCCTCCTCGTCCTCCTCGTCCTCCTCGTCCTACTCGAGAACCAATTGTTTCATGTGTATTCTGGGCGCCAGCACGGCGCCACGCAATGTGAAACGACGCAGGGGTGCCGCCTTCCCCCGTGGCCCGTGTCAGTCAGTAAGGTGGGCTGGGCGATTCGCCGGAGACTTCTTCAGCAGGTATGTCAAGCTGGCGTTAGATGCAAAACAAGTTCATGGGAGGAGGGCGGGCCGTTTCAAAATGTGGCTCTCGCCTCAGCGCCGCGCAGATTCGTCTCAGAAGTCTGCCAGGGTTTCAAAGATGATTAAGGACGGTTCCTTTTCAAAATATGGCTCTCGCCCGAGCGCCGCGCGCATTCGCCGTAAAAATGTACATGAGCTTCACGGATGGAAGGCGGTTCCTTTGCAACACGTGGCTCCAGCCATAGCGCCGCGCACAGTGATCTCAAGAGTATACAACGCTTCCACAATCTTATCATAGCTCACGCCCCAGGAATGGTGTCTTGGCACGGTGTAGGACTGTCAGGGCGCAGCAGTTACGCTGACCCGCGGTTTTGAAATCCCAGGAGCGGCGATCTGGCACGATTCAGGATCGTCAGGACGCAACAGTAACGTTGATCCACGGCCTTGAAGTCTCTTGAACGTTTTGTCACGGTTCGAAATTTGAAGATGGTTGTCTTCCAACGGGCACTACCTCAGTAATAATGAATTCTTGCAGGGACCCATGAAGAGGGAACTTTGAGTGACAGTTTATTGCAACATCGTGGATGCGTCTCCGGTATACACTGGGCCTCCTCCTCCTCCTCCTCCTCCTCCTTCTCCTCCATTCCTCATCGCCGGTGTTCTCCTCCTCGCCGTCGTCGTACACGTCATGATGTAGCCCTTACTGTCACAATCCTCATGATCATCACCCTCGTCTTCATCCTCACCCTTCTCGCCCCCAACATCATCAACATTACCACCACCCCCATCATCATCAATGTCGTTATCGGCATCGTCACAATCATAACGAAAATCTCATCAGCAGCGGCATCCTCTCATCAGCATCATCATCATCAGCAGCAGCGTCATCATCAGCAGCATCATCACCATCAGCAGCATCGTCAACATCATCAGCAGCATCAGCATCATCATCATCAGCATCATCATCACCATCAGCATCATCCTCATCACCATTACCAACATAATCGTCATATGTATCAGCATCATCAGCAGCAGCATCATCATCCATCATCAGCAGCATCAACATCGTTGTCGTCGTCATCATCAGTCGTACTACCATCGTCATCACCCTCACTCACTCACTCACTCGCTCCCTCACTCACTCACTCACTCGCTCACGCACTTACTCATTTTACTCGTGTTTCGTGTGCCCCTCCTCCTCCTCCTCTTCAGATAATTCCTCCTCGTCTCCCCTCTTGAACAATTTCGCTGTTTTCGCAGTGCTCATCCACTGGTAGAGGATCTTCGGAACCTAAGGGGGCGCCTCCTCATTCTCCTCATCCTGCCCCATCATCCCTGGACAGGTGAACGGGTTAGCAGGAAAGACGACTCCACGGTTTACCGGCTCCTCCTCCTCAAGCTTTCCTCCCGATGTTTTTCCTCGTGCAATCCTAATCCGCCCCCTCCTCCTCCTTCTCCTCCTCCTCATCCTACTCCTCACCCTCCTCCACCTCCCTCTTCCTGGCCCCCTCCGCCCTCTTTCTTCCATTATCCATCCTCCCTCTTGCCTCCTCACATTTCCTCCTCCTCCTCCGATTGCGCCTCCGCCTCCTGCCTCCCCGCATGGCTTGCTCGTCCCCCGTCTTCGACAAGCTTGCTCGAGCAGGAGGGCAGCACGAGAGCGGCAGCGGCGAACGGAACAAGACAGCAGGGCGGGCCCCCCGCCCACGGCGCCTGGCGACGGCGGGTGGCAACCCCTCGCTCCCCCCGTCCGACCCTCGGGCCCCCGGGGTGGCGGCCCTGGTGGCGTTGGCGCGCGCACCTGCCTGCCCGTCCCAGGTCACGCCACGTCGAGCGCCCCGCTAGGCAGAGGGGGGAGGGGGGAGAAGGAGGGAGGGCCAGCTGCAGCCACGTCGCCCACCCTGAAGGCCCAGGCCGCTCGGCCAGGCGCGCGGAGCGCGAGCGCCGCGCGCCACGCGCGCAGCGCCTGCACGCCCCGTGCCTGTCGCGAGTGATCTCCCCCCACTCGCCATCGTTCTCCTCTCGCGTCCGCCCCAGGGCCAGAGCAACGCGCGCTGACGCCGTCGGGCCGCGCGGCCCTCGTCGTGGGCAAATACGTTGTGTTCGCCGGCTCCTCGTCGTGCCGCCAGTCTGGGCGGCGGCCCCCTTGGCGGCCCCGCGTCTAGGCCTTTTGGAAGGGCCCCGGAAACGGCGGGGCCTGTTTTTCACCGTTTCCGAAAAAAGTGTCTTGAAAATAGAGACGGCGAAAAAAAGCAACAGGAAACAACAAAAAAACGACTCCAGGATTGGAACTGGAGCCAGAACCGGTAAAAAAACGGCGACGGAACCGGTAAAAAACGGCAAAACGGAACCGGTAAAGAAACGGCCCTGTCGTTTCCAGGGCCCACTAAGGTCTAGGCTTGCCAGCGCCGCCGTAACTGTGGCAGCATGTCCGACTTCGTGCTTCCCTTTCAGCAGACAAGACTCTGGAATATTGCTGCTTGGCATCTGGTGTGTGAGGGTTCATCAACTTCCTCGGAGCTCTCCGGAAGAGAATGGTGATTCATGAACGTGGGAAATGAATACACAAAAAGTATACCAGACTCGGCCGCCTGAGAGAGAGACAGAGAGACAGCAGCGACCTTCCTTGACCCAGGCATGAGTTCTTGGACGAGCTGCTTCACAGTGCGGCCCCCGCGCGCCCTAAGCATCCTTTTCTTCCATAGACTTCAACGGGAGGCAACGGCAAAACCGAAAACCGACCGAATCGAAAGCGAAAGCAAACCTACCGAAATCGACGGACCGAAAGCAGTGCGCAGCCAGTGACCGAACTGAACCGAGCGAATGCGGCCATCTCCTGAGCGGCCGGCCAACTGCTAAGCAGCCGAACGAACCAAACTCATTACCTCCATCCTCCTCTTCCTACTCATGCTCCTCCTCCTCATCCCCTTCCTCCTTCAGGGGCAACAGTAGGGGGGGTCAGCTCAGGGGGGGAGAAACATCGACCTGGAATCGGCGATAACTCGCCGATAGGTCGACGATGGGCCATCTAGGATTCAAGAGGGCCCGCTCGGTACCAACTATGCTGGCCCCCCCGAGCAGTTCGCGCGCACGAGGTGTGTGCCAAAATAAGCTGGGGAACGCATAGGGGCGCTGCGACAGGGGCCGTCGGTGGAGCGTCCCATAAGGCCACGAAGCACACGAGGGGAGTCCTAAAATAGGTTGGGGAACGCATACAGGCGCTGCCACAGGGGCCGTCGGTGGAGCTCCACATGGGGCCACGAATCGTATGAGGAATTTGCCGAAATAGGAGGAGGACGGGGAAGACGCGGCGGCAGCCGCGCTCTGGCCGCGGTGGCCTCGCCCTCATCCAGGTCCTCGTCCTGCGGGTCAGCACTGATGCCCGGGAACCCTCCCTCGGCTGGCACTCGGGCTGGGCAGCGGTGCGCCCGCGTGCGCCTGTCTAAGACGGTCTTCCGACGGCCTCTGGGGGTCAGCGCTGGTCCTCCGCCTTCACCTCCTCCTGCTCCTCCTCCTCCTCCTCCTCCTCCTCCTCCTCCTCCTCATCCTCCTCCTCATTCTCCTTCTCCTCCTCCTCCTCCTCCTCCTCCTCCTCCTCCAACGAGTTCTGCTCCTGTTCCTGCTCGTCCTCCTCCTCCTCCTCATCCTCCTCCTCCGCCTCATCCTCTCTTTTTCCTCCTCCTCCTCCTCCTCCTCCTCCTCCTCCAAAACGAGTTCTGCCTCCTGTTCCTGCTCGTCCTCCTCCTCCTCCTATCCTCCTCTCCCTCCTCCGTCTCCGTTTCCCCCTCCTTTTCCTCCTCCCTCCTCCTCCTCCTTCTCCTTCTCCTCCTCATCCTCCTCCTCCGTTTCCTCCGCCTCCTCCTCCTCATTCTCCTCCTCCTCCTCCTCCTCCTCCTTCGTAGCATGATTCTTTTGTGGCCTTATTATTAGTACCGTTCGTCGTTTTGTATTAGTATTATTCTTAGTATTCGAATCATATATGGCCTTATGATTAGTCTGATTATCTTGTTCGTATTCTTTATCATTCGCATGAGTATGGGTATTAGTACCATCATGATTAGTCTGATTCGTCGTATTATTAGCACGCTTCTTATTCTTCATATTATGATCATTCTT